GTGCTTGTGTAGAAGCAACCTACATGTGCATCTAAAGGAAAGGGGCTCAGGAGTTTGTCATCAAAAAAAAAAAAAAAAAACCTTTGGCAGCATGTTTGAAACCAGCAACTGTCACTGAAGCTCTGTGACCCAGTCAGACTGTGTGCTGTGTTGATGACATGGATGAAAACAGCCCTACGGTGACTCGTGTGTGTGTGTGTGTGTGTGTGTGTGTGTGTGTGTGTGTGTGTGTGTGTGTGTGTGTGTGTGTGTGTGTGTCAAATCTTGCCCTTGTTGTACGAGCTGCATATTACGCGCATTGCTGACATGCAACATACTGTATGTGTAATAAATAGATATGATACACATTGATGATACTTAATTTTTTCAAGAGAGGTAGTCAGTATGGACAAATACATCTGTTTATGAGCTCACACACACACACACACACACACACACACACACACACACACACGCATGGACACTCACGATACTTTCATTACCCTTTCAATCGAGCAGCATGCCATTTTGCTCGAGCACCAAATTAGTCAGACCTTGCAGCACGACATTTAAACATCACTTCACCAGCTATCGCCGAGGGCATGTGCGTGAGTGAATGTGCGTTTATCATTGTGCACTATCTTGTACGATCCTTTCAATCTACGCTGGTCATTGAGAAGAGATCAGCAAATACCAGGAAGAATACTTTGAATCTCTAGTTTATTTTTAATCATGGTCAAGAAATCTCTCAAATTGGGTGGCATTTTGGACATTCACATTGTAAGAAGATTCTAGTAGGCCCTACTAACATAAAATTCATATGGAGACCAATAATATGACATGGGCGGTAAAAATATTTCAAAATACTGTACTAATTTGCGACTACAAAAACCCCCCCATCTATTTATGGTCAAAAAATAAGTTGTTTCCACGAAATAGGCAGGACACGTGTAAGGAATAGTAATTTGTTTTCACAAAAGAGGCATTTTATAATTTTAATTTATGGCCATACAATGCACATTTTTGTCCACCAAATAAGCATCACGTGAACAAAATACTAATTTGTGGGCACAAAATACTAATTTGTTTTCATGAACTTGGTGTAATGTGTGCACAAAATACTCACTTGTGTCGCAAAATAAGTTTAATATGCACACCAATACCTCATTTATGGCCTCAAGATTTAAGTCCCTAAAATAGGTATAATGCGGGAAAAATTTTGGGCCAAGAAGTACTAATTTGTATCCACAAAGCAGCTGTGGCTCCATACTGGACAGTCGGGTCATCAATGGAGTGCACCTTCCCGAAAACCGTCGGAGGTCGACGACAGGGATAAAGACAAGGGACAGCAATAGTACTGAATTTTATTGTCGACTGGCTATGACTAAGACATTCGGAAAAACCTGCTATTGCAGGCTATTGACAAGAACAGAGTAAGAGGAAAAGGCACTTAACGAACATCCGGTATTGCAGTTTCTCTGAAAGGTGGTACACCTTTTGCCTTACCCCGAAGTCAGTCCATCGTGTACACATTATATGTATTTTGTGGCAACATCTTCGGTTATTTTGTCTGGATTTCAATGATTTCCCATCCATGTCATGTGTGGGGCTTCCTAGATTCACAGAAAGACGCACCTTTTCCGACAACTGCTTGTGTTTATGATGTCTCTTCAATCTGTTTCTGTTCACCCACTAAAGCCAAACAATGGCATCTTATCAGAGGAAGCGCAAACATCTACCTGTGCGCGGCGGCAGGATGAAACCAAACGTGTTTACAAGTGGCCCCGGGGAACCAGTCAGCATAGCTAATCACTTCAGACACACACATTATGCAACATGAGGCCCCCTCGACACCCCACGTTAGCCTGATTTGAATGCATCGTCCTGATAAGCACTCGGCTGAGATGATGAAATTAGGGAAGTCAAAATCAGAGAAGTGGAATGTGTATTTAGAGGCAATTGCACTCTGTGCTTTGACATTTTTGGCAAGGCGTCCAATGAAATAAGATTGCACAACAGCCAGAAGATATTTTGGCGTTAGGGAATACAATTTGTTGAGATGTTTGCATTTGTTCTTCCAAGAATTTACCAGTACAATTTCATTGTAAGCATAAAAATAAGACAGAAGCGCCTGTACGCAGGTCATGTTTTAAGTAACTCTTTTTAAAATTGATGGTGTAAAACCAACACATTTCAAACTTGACTGTTGAGCATAATGCCTAGAGCAGGGGTGCCCATTACGTCAATCGTGATCGACCGGTAGATCGCGGAATGGTCCCAAGTCGATCGCGAGGGGTGTCGAGGAGAAAAAAAACAAACAACCATTTGTGTGTCTTTGTGCATGTTAGTAATATATATATTTTTTGTGTTAATGTACACTGCACCCTAATCATCCTATCAGTCTCATTTTCACAAAAAGTATTTAAAAAATTAAATAAAATAAAGCAGGTACAGTAAATCTTTAACCTACGGTGGCGCGTGACCTCCGTCACCGGAAGTTGTGAGCGCTCAGCAGCCTGCCAATGCAGCTTGTGATCAAAGCTGTTGCGCTATCTCTTTTATCGCTGTCATTTATTCTCATTGAGAGTGTGTTTCATGTACAATTCACCGAGGGCACGGGCAAACAATGGGAATCTGGAGGGTCGAGAGAAGCATTTTAAAACGGTATGCGTGAGCTACGATCGTTAACAGGCTGCAAAAGTGCGTCGCATGCCTCCGTGTCAGGCTGTTGCTCATTATGGCGTGTGTGTGTATGTGCGTGAGCGGGCTTACCTCCCTTAAATTTAATAGTGTAATTCTTGACACCAGAGTTGTTACCCTATACAGTAATATTGATAATCATTGTGATTCACCCTTTGCCATGAAAGTCAATAAAGGCCAGATTACAGGAGTCGAAAAGATTTTCCTGAGTGATTGGCCTATGGTGTGCGGTGTTTTCAAACGCAAATTTTTTTTTCATCTTCTGCTTGGAAAATTCGAGGGGCTGACAGCTGTAAAACGTTAAACCTTGTGTAGTCAATACAAGATGTTGGCACATCCCTCCGTAATTGTGAGGTGAAACATAACGATAGCCAATTAGGAAGCGACCTGAAGCTCGTGCTGTTGCCGGACACAAGGAGCTACGGTGCTCTATTCTTTCTACTTCTTTGTGTTTTCCAACAGTCTAGATGGCCTTTGGCACCACACTGCCTCTCACAGGTCAGTCCTGGTGCTACAGCGGACATTTGGTTTACAGATGGAGTCCTAGGATTAATGATTTATTTTTTTTTGACAGCTGTCCCAAGTGCCAGGCTACCGAAATGTCCTCAACTCTCGATTTACAAATGCACACATATTTTACAGACATACGTATAAAGCCACATTACACAAAGCCACATAAAAAATGTATTTATGCACGCAAACATCAATGTATTTGTCGATGGTAAACCTGCATACCTAACATTATTTTCAGTAAGGCCGCGATTGGCTGTTGCATATAAGACTGGCCATCAATCAAACGAAAATCACACCACTGTTTTTACTTCATTTTATTTCTAATGTCTTAGTGATAAGCAACTCAACATTAGTATTTCACCACTCAAAAATATCTACTTTTGTTTTTAGAAATCCATGCCTCAAATGGTGTGGGCACAATCATCTTGGTGGGTGGGCACGTCCCCGAATCACCCGCTCGTGGTGATGGGTCTGATGACAGTACATGGGCCAGTGCACCCCCGGCACCTCAGCACGAATCAACCGAGTCGCCTGTTGGCGGCTAGCAGCTGAAATGTCTCAAAAAGTGCAATATGATGTTTCAGCTTCACGGGGCACTGGACTTGATTTCCCACTACAGTGTATATTCTTAGGAGAACGTGTTTTGCATCTGGCTTTATTTTATGCAGATTAGGTTTTGGCCATTGAGTTACAAAAAGAAAATACGCTGACTGAAAAAGTATGTTTGGATGCACACATATTTAGCGTGTCAGTGCTATCAGATCCAATTATCTTGTCCGAATGTAACCATTGAGCCACATTAAAGCTTTGCTTTCCTAAATTGTTTTGAAGCATTTGAACCATGTTGTCACATGTGGATAAGTGTTGCTCAACACAAAATGAGCAGTTAGAGACATTTATATGCAGCGTGTGTAATACCATTGTGTGTACTGATGTATGTTCATCATGGCTATTTAGGTTGATGCTCGATGTTTTAAATTCCCCCTCTAGCTGGCATTTGGATCTGCAAGTTGTTGTCGCAAACAGTTGCATTTTTGCATTAAACACAAATGATTTACAGGAATCTTCCTTTTTTTTGTTTTTGTTTTTGTATTTTTTTTTTTGCATTTGTGTTTTGTCAAGCATGAATCTTCATCTTTTATTTGAAATTAAGCCATTTTGGGGTTTTATTTAACATTGGGACATTTTTGTTGATCTTTGTTTTTGAACACAATGTGAAAAAGAAAAGATTTACTTCGCCCACATGGTGCTGATTAGATGAAAAACAAAAAGTAACCATATATACAGTATATATGGGCCATTACAAGGTTATTTCTAATTTGCTGCATTATACTGAAAAATGCATCCATCCATTCATTGCCATTTTCCTCATGAGGATAACTTGAGCCTGACTGAGGAAAAGGCAGAATACTGGTTGCGAGCTAGTCTCAAACTGTCAACAACAACCAGTCACACTCACGTTCATACAATACTTGCGGCAAATTTGGACTAGTCATCAATAAACCTAGCTACCTAATCTGAATGTTTTAGAATGCCAGTGTAAACTGGAGGGCACAGCGGAAACACACGAAAATATATCGATTTCTTTTGCCAGTACCTGTGTACCTATTATTTGCTATGTAGCTCTGAAAAATAAAATAAGATATAAACATCTTTTCCCCACCATTTCCACAACTTAAAATGACATGATCGGGATCGGTGCATTCCTAATATCTTTATTTATGTGCATGCCAGTGAATGCACGGTGTCTTAACCACAGTACTGAATAGCACCATTTTTTGGGTGTATGTGTTTGTGTGTGCCCGCAGCTGCGTTGTGTGCAGAGGTGGAGGAACGTCTGGTGGGTCACCTGTTGTCGGCGGATCGCTACAATAAACTGATCAGACCGGCCGTCAACAACAGCCAGCAAGTCACCATTTACATCCAAGTGTCTCTGGCACAGCTCATCAATGTGGTGAGGAAGATCAGCCGTGCTGCTTCTTAAAATGCCATCATGAGGATGAGTGATGAGTATGACGATGACAAAGAAAATTCCTTTTAAGAGGCATCAGGATGTGTGTCAGCCTTCAATTTGTGTTTTTCAGAACGAGAGGGAACAGATCATGACCACCAACTGTTGGCTCACTCAGGTTTGTCTTCTCTTGGTCTCTTGTCTTAGAAAAAATAGATTCAATAAATGCTCGACAAATCAACATCAAGTTTTCCTGGTTGTAGCAGTGATTGACGTGATTGTTGATCGTGGAGAAGGGCGTGGTTGCAGGCAATCAGCGGACACGCCCACAGCATTTGAGAGGTTATTCTGAAGCCTCATTTTTATATACTTGACCATTTTTTTAATCGTTTCAATTTCACAGGGTAGTTACCACTGTTTTCTGTGGCTTATCAAATTTTAAGACACTTTCATGAAAATGTATTCATGTTCAAATATTCCGAAAACATTTTGTAAAAACACACATTTTAAGGTATTCCAATTTATTGATCAGCTTCCAAGTCTTTCAATGAGCATCGTTACCACCCCATGACCGTACATATTTTATTGCTTGTGTTTCAGAATGAAAATACATGAGGTGTTTGTTTTCTCACTCTTTTTTTCTAAACAATCATCAGGTGTGGAACGACTACAGATTAATGTGGGACCCCGATGAGTATGATGGCATCAAGAAAATCCGCCTCCCGACACAACACATTTGGCTGCCAGACATCGTCCTTTACAACAAGTAGAGTTACAACAAATGAAACAACAGACACACGGGGTTACACACACCATCATCATTGTTTCAATGGCAAATCATTTTTCGAAAACGTTTTTCATATCCACTTAGTCTATACACTGACCATTTTACTGTCGCACACCTCTTTTCGGATATTGCACATATGGCAACATTTCAGAATGGAAACAGTATTTCAAGGAATGAGAGATTATCAAACCTTTAGGACAGTTTAAATCTGAAAGGTCATTTAGTGTATTTTATTAAGATACGACTCATATCCTGACCCAAAATCTCAATCTTTTGCTTTGTGTCGGAGTTGCGTCCGCATGTCGTACTTTACGAATGGCAATAATTATTTACATTGGTTGTTGTAATCACTGCTTGTTCGTTGCATTTTAATGAGAGTGTATTTGAGCTTTCGGATATTTTTGGTGCCGAAAAAGTGGTCACAATTTTATTTATTTATTTTCTGTGGTCAAAATTGAATTATTAAATAAATAATGACAATACAATATAAATCGAAAGGAAAATAAATGATAAATATGACTCATTATATCATACTATTATCATTATATCAACTAACTTGAAATTGAAGAATTGATTGAGTATCATTTAACAACTTGGGACATGCCATACATCCAATGAAATAGGTGGCATGTAATGAAGGGAACGTAGTTTAAGAGACTTATCAAATGTTTGGCCAGTTGACCTGAAAGTCTTCTTATTCCGCTACACTTTCATGATGACTGAGTGTATTTGATGAGGATATAAAAGGCACTTTATGCTGACATTGACCCCGACTGGGAAAGTAGTCTCTGTGAGAAAGGGATGCAAAGAGTAGCAGAAAAGACAGGACAGGACGGGTGTAGTGAACAAGGCAGTGTTACCATTATGTGGTGGGAGGGGCTATGCAGAGTCAAACTCCCCTGTAAAGAATCTGATCATAAATGAGAAGACACCCCAGGAAAATAACATAAACATCGATCAAGGGTCCTGTAAAGCAATTCAAGAGTGGTCCCACACCAAGCGACTAAATCCAACAGGGGTGGCTCATGCTCGTGAATCAATACGACCACACACAGATGTGAGAATCAGTGGTGTCGGAAATTAAAAGACCACTACCCTCCTACCTCTTGGGAATGCTAATAAACAACGATGAGAAATCAATAATCTCTATATGTGAGATGATTGCAGCTCATCTGGTTGAATGGATATGCTTCATGTGTGTTGTGGTCAGTAGTGGCGCACCGCTGTTTATACTCGCCTCGTAGCCATGACACTTTCATAAAGACAGATTGCCGGGCAACATTATGACCGCGCAACCGGCAAAATGGATCCCGAGGCCAAATGATGAAAGATGATGGGGGGGTAGAGGTTGCAGAATGAAGAAGAAGAAAGTGCCCGGTTTTAGTGTTGTCGACATGTCCTTTCTATGCCTCTTTTCCTAGCAATAGAAAGTGAACGTATTGCCGGATTCCTGACCTACTTTATAATTGATAGTCTATGTATCTATAATGCATCGCCTGAAGCTTGGGTGTGATCAAGTCCAAAGGCACATCTCAGCACATTGGAGAAAGGTGAGGGGGTGACTGTTGACATCCTGCCGCAGTTTGTTCTGATATGGATTTTCTCCGAGGATGATAACAACATTCTGTAACACTGAGCTTGCTAAAAGGAGCCATTCAACAACTTTGTAATCTTCACAGAAGCAGTCCTGAAAACTGTTAAACAGACCAAAATCCAGATGTCAGGTGGTGAGACAGGGCGAGAGGCTGGAGTTGCACACTTGGTGTGATTTGAAACAAAGGCGAGAGTGTGGAAAGAAGTCCTTCGTTGAGATTTAAACATTTCTAATGAAATGCCCACTCTAATTTCCACGGGAAGGGCATTCCAGGGTACTGGAGCCCGAATAGATAATGCAGTAGAACCTGCTTTTGCTGCTTTTTAGCTCCCAGAGCCACAGAAAGAACAGAATTTTGTGAGAGCAAGGCCCTGGACGAAACATCAAGCACCACTAAGTCAGAAAGACATATTTTACGAGTAAGTAAAAAAACCTTAAAATCACATCTCAGGCGAAGTGGGAGTCATTGCAAGCAGATTCCCTTTCAACCTTCATACATTGTAGAACAAGAACTTTACAAGTTTCATGAGAGAGACAATCAAAGATACGAGGTGTTGTACACAATTTTGTGAGAGCAAGGCCCTGGACGAAACATCAAGCACCACTAAGTCAGAAAGACATATTTTACGAGTAAGTAAAAAAACCTTAAAATCACATCTCAGGCGAAGTGGGAGTCATTGCAAGCAGATTCCCTTTCAACCTTCATACATTGTAGAACAAGAACTTTACAAGTTTCATGAGAGAGACAATCAAAGATACGAGGTGTTGTACACGTTGATCCAGGCTGGACTGTCGTGATATTTTTTTCGATGCGTTTTTGACTTCTTCGTCTTCATCTTTCCCTGTCCGTCCCTCAGTGCTGACGGCACCTACGAAGTCTCCTTCTACTCCAACGCGGTGGTCTCCAACAACGGCGAGGTGGCTTGGCTCCCTCCCGCCATTTACAAGTCGGCCTGCAAGATCGAAGTCCGCGACTTTCCGTTCGACCAGCAGAACTGCACCCTCAAGTTTCGCTCATGGACGTACGACCACACCGAGATCGACCTGATCCTGCTGAGTGACTTTGCCAGCCGCGACGATTTTAAACCCAGCGGCGAGTGGGATATCGTTTCGCTGCCGGGACGCAAGAACGAAGACCCGGATGACATCAGGTACCTGGACATCACTTACGACTTCATCATTAAGAGAAAACCTCTCTTCTACACCATCAACCTGATCATCCCTTGCATCCTGATCACATCTTTGGCCATTCTGGTCTTCTACCTGCCATCAGACTGCGGTGAGAAGATGACGCTGTGCATCTCTGTGCTCCTGGCCCTCACTGTGTTTTTACTCCTTATCTCAAAGATTGTACCACCCACGTCTTTAGCGGTGCCTCTGATCGGCAAGTACCTGATGTTCACCATGGTGCTGGTCACCTTTTCCATCGTCACCAGTGTTTGCGTGCTCAACGTGCACCATCGCTCCCCTAGTACGCACACCATGCCTCCCTGGGTCAAACGTGTCTTCATGTACCGACTTCCCTCCTACCTTTTCATGCGGAGACCAGGCAGATCCAACATACGTGAAAGGTTCCGGAAAAAACACCAACAGCGATCGTACTCCGAGAAGAAAGCGGGAGCAGATGCGGGGGCAGGTTCTCTGGGACTGGCGGACTCCTCGTCGTCCTTCTATGTCAACGAGGAATCGGCCAAACGCTACGGCTGGACGTTCAGCGACTTTGCCGACAACACAGAGTTCAGGAGGAGGGCGACGCTGAAAAGCAGCATCGATGTGGAGGATGCCGTGGACGGTGTGCGCTACATTGCGGACAAGATGAAGAGTGAGGACGACGATGAAGGGGTAGGCTTTTGGAAGGAAATGCCTCAATGTGTGTGTGTGATGTGCAAATACGTCTACCCGTAATTCTTTGTCAACTCCTTCGATTTTGCCCGTTAGTCCGAATGTCTTCAAATTCATCTTAACATCATGAAAAAAATATGATTAAAGGCAATTTAAGCACATTTTCTGTTTCAAAACTGTGTATCAAACTGGTAGTCCTTTGCACTAATCAGTAGCCAAAGAGTCATTTTCACTTTCAAAAAGGTTGGTGATCCCTGGCCGATCGTGTTTGTCTCAATTAATGGCCGCATACTGTCCTTGATATAATTGTTGTGACAAATATTGCAAGAGTAGCATGAAACTGCTGTTTGTACCTCATGTACTCAAACTTTTTTTTCTCTACTAAATTAACTCAAGAAAATGAAGCCTGACCGACATAAACGAGCTTCGAAATTGTGCGTAAATGCAACCATGGTATATTTTTTTAACACTCACCTCTGTCTTGTTACAGATCATTGAGGACTGGAAGTACGTGGCGATGGTGATCGACCGCCTCTTCCTGTGGATCTTTGTGTTTGTATGTGTGGTGGGAACTGTGGGCCTCTTCATGCAGCCTCTGTTCCAGAGCTACAACACCCCCATTGTTGAAGACATGGACCAGAACTGAGGGATGACACCTGGACATAAAAAAAAAAAAAAACAACAAAAAAATCAACCTTAATTCCGACTCCACTCTGCAAAGCGCCAAGCCACTCCTTTTATCAAGTTACAGTTTGTCCACCTCACCTGCCACTCTTGATGCACTTTAGCCCTCTTCCTTAACACCTGCTCCTGAACTCACGCCCCAGCCTTTTTATCCTCCACGTGTCCTGCCTTCTGATCAAGCAGGAGAACTGAGATCTATCTGATTTCGATGACGAGACTGCCGCTCTTGTTGCTTTCGTTGAATCAAAGTCACTGATAGTGAGCCTCACTGAATAGGTTATTGCTCACATCTGGGACCATGTTTACAGTGTTGGGTCCAAATTGATCTTCCTTGTATGACCCTCTCTGATTTCAATGATACTTTATATTGACCCTGGAGTAACTACTTCTACTAGTTCACCCTAAAGTTGTTTGATGGCATTTAGGTCAAGTTCTTCGGCACTAAACTCATTCAAGCTTCCACTGATGGACCTCGATTTATGCAATGGGGCACAGCCATGCCGAAACAGAAAAGTGGCTTCCACAAACTCACTGATGCCCAGAACATTCTGTTAGGATGAATAATTAAAATTTAAAGGGAATTCAAGGGAGGAAAAGTATGCTCCAAGACTTTATTCCATCCATTGTAGCGTATTGTAGATTTTCTCGGTGTCAGCAGCTATTTTGAATTTGTCATCCTGGCTTGCCAATCCAGTGGTGGAGATAAATATAAATTCAAAATGGTAAGTGACGTTTCAACAACGTCTTGTTGATCTGTACAAATCAATAGCCCTGAAAAATAAGTGAAGCCTGTTCTTCACTTGCAAAAAAAAAAAAAAAAATTTCGATGCGTTTTTGACTTCTTCGTCTTCATCTTTCCCTGTCCGTCCCTCAGTGCTGACGGCACCTACGAAGTCTCCTTCTACTCCAACGCGGTGGTCTCCAACAACGGCGAGGTGGCTTGGCTCCCTCCCGCCATTTACAAGTCGGCCTGCAAGATCGAAGTCCGCGACTTTCCGTTCGACCAGCAGAACTGCACCCTCAAGTTTCGCTCATGGACGTACGACCACACCGAGATCGACCTCATCCTGCTGAGTGACTTTGCCAGCCGCGACGATTTTAAACCCAGCGGCGAGTGGGATATCGTTTCGCTGCCGGGACGCAAGAACGAAGACCCGGATGACATCAGGTACCTGGACATCACTTACGACTTCATCATTAAGAGAAAACCTCTCTTCTACACCATCAACCTGATCATCCCTTGCATCCTGATCACATCTTTGGCCATTCTGGTCTTCTACCTGCCATCAGACTGCGGTGAGAAGATGACGCTGTGCATCTCTGTGCTCCTGGCCCTCACTGTGTTTTTACTCCTTATCTCAAAGATTGTACCACCCACGTCTTTAGCGGTGCCTCTGATCGGCAAGTACCTGATGTTCACCATGGTGCTGGTCACCTTTTCCATCGTCACCAGTGTTTGCGTGCTCAACGTGCACCATCGCTCCCCTAGTACGCACACCATGCCTCCCTGGGTCAAACGTGTCTTCATGTACCGACTTCCCTCCTACCTTTTCATGCGGAGACCAGGCAGATCCAACATACGTGAAAGGTTCCGGAAAAAACACCAACAGCGATCGTACTCCGAGAAGAAAGCGGGAGCAGATGCGGGGGCAGGTTCTCTGGGACTGGCGGACTCCTCGTCGTCCTTCTATGTCAACGAGGAATCGGCCAAACGCTACGGCTGGACGTTCAGCGACTTTGCCGACAACACAGAGTTCAGGAGGAGGGCGACGCTGAAAAGCAGCATCGATGTGGAGGATGCCGTGGACGGTGTGCGCTACATTGCGGACAAGATGAAGAGTGAGGACGACGATGAAGGGGTAGGCTTTTGGAAGGAAATGCCTCAATGTGTGTGTGTGATGTGCAAATACGTCTACCCGTAATTCTTTGTCAACTCCTTCGATTTTGCCCGTTAGTCCGAATGTCTTCAAATTCATCTTAACATCATGAAAAAAATATGATTAAAGGCAATTTAAGCACATTTTCTGTTTCAAAACTGTGTATCAAACTGGTAGTCCTTTGCACTAATCAGTAGCCAAAGAGTCATTTTCACTTTCAAAAAGGTTGGTGATCCCTGGCCGATCGTGTTTGTCTCAATTAATGGCCGCATACTGTCCTTGATATAATTGTTGTGACAAATATTGCAAGAGTAGCATGAAACTGCTGTTTGTACCTCATGTACTCAAACTTTTTTTTCTCTACTAAATTAACTCAAGAAAATGAAGCCTGACCGACATAAACGAGCTTCGAAATTGTGCGTAAATGCAACCATGGTATATTTTTTTAACACTCACCTCTGTCTTGTTACAGATCATTGAGGACTGGAAGTACGTGGCGATGGTGATCGACCGCCTCTTCCTGTGGATCTTTGTGTTTGTATGTGTGGTGGGAACTGTGGGCCTCTTCATGCAGCCTCTGTTCCAGAGCTACAACACCCCCATTGTTGAAGACATGGACCAGAACTGAGGGATGACCCCTGGACATAAAAAAAAAAAAAAACAACAAAAAAATCAACCTTAATTCCGACTCCACTCTGCAAAGCGCCAAGCCACTCCTTTTATCAAGTTACAGTTTGTCCACCTCACCTGCCACTCTTGATGCACTTTAGCCCTCTTCCTTAACACCTGCTCCTGAACTCACGCCCCAGCCTTTTTATCCTCCACGTGTCCTACCTTCTGATCAAGCAGGAGAACTGAGATCTGTCTGATTTCGATGACGAGACTGCCGCTCTTGTTGCTTTCGTTGAATCAAAGTCACTGATAGTGAGCCTCACTGAATAGGTTATTGCTCACATCTGGGACCATGTTTACAGTGTTGGGTCCAAATTGATCTTCCTTGTATGACCCTCTCTGATTTCAATGATACTTTATATTGACCCTGGAGTAACTACTTCTACTAGTTCACCCTAAAGTTGTTTGATGGCATTTAGGTCAAGTTCTTCGGCACTAAACTCATTCAAGCTTCCACTGATGGACCTCGATTTATGCAATGGGGCACAGCCATGCCGAAACAGAAAAGTGGCTTCCACAAACTCACTGATGCCCAGAACATTCTGTTAGGATGAATAATTAAAATTTAAAGGGAATTCAAGGGAGGAAAAGTATGCTCCAAGACTTTATTCCATCCATTGTAGCGTATTGTAGATTTTCTCGGTGTCAGCAGCTATTTTGAATTTGTCATCCTGGCTTGCCAATCCAGTGGTGGAGATAAATATAAATTCAAAATGGTAAGTGACGTTTCAACAACGTCTTGTTGATCTGTACAAATCAATAGCCCTGAAAAATAAGTGAAGCCTGTTCTTC